TTTCTGGAGTACAGCCAGGACAGAAAGAAATCTGTGCTTGTGACTCAGCTGTGGGATACAGCAGATGGCTACAGGTGATCAAGACTGCACCCTAATCCGGAAGTGGATACTTCTAGGAATACAACTTACTGGCACTGAGCCAAAGTCCTCATCATATAATGAATGAGAGGACAGGCATCTCCTGTTGCATAAATATCTTCTCTTACTTCCTCCAAAGATCTCCTCTAGTAATACTGAGTAATCTAAGCCTCTAAGAGCTTGAAGGTTATGCAGCTACATCAGTAGGATACTGTGGAGGCTTAACATGCCCAGCATATGCTCTTCAAACGCTGTGGTGCACAATATCTCTGCAGCAGAGGGTACAGATCAGGTACTCCAGAGCACAGATCAAATAGCACACTGAAAGTGGGCTGTCAGTGCCCAAGTCACAGGACCAAGCCTGCTATTCATGAAATCTGAGGCGGTAAGGAACAGCTTCTAAAACCACTTGTGACTTATGACTGACTCTGCACTTGTTCCCCTTCCATTCCAGGACAAAGTCAACCAGGTTTAATGTTTTCAGCTAAGCTAAGCAGTTTGACTTTAAAGTAAGCTAGAAGCAGTCACAGAGTTAAGCTCTGTTATCATCTAGGAGACAGAAAGCTGCTGGAAGGCATTAAAGTGGAACTTCTGATGCAACTTAACCAGCTCCACTGGTTAGAGATACAGGTGTGTAGCTAACCATGAAAGTTTCATGTGGAATGAACAGAGGGAAACTATCTGAAGCTCGGCAGAGACTGGAAGCAGTGTGGGCTGGCCAAGCTTGCGCCGCTCTGTCTAACGCAAATGCAACACTGAAGCGTTTGTTTGCCAATTTGCCGAGCCTGGGTTAGAACTGCCAGTGGATGCCCACGCTGACGCAGCACCCTATTTTACTTACTTCAATCTAGGTAAAATAATGGTCAAACAAAGTGGGGTATACGTCTCAAATATCAGCTTTGAACAAGCCTCAGGGACAAAATGAAAAACAGATTCAGCAGACAACAACAACCGAAAACAAACGTGGAGCAGTTCTCTTCCTGAAGCAGATACTTTGTCCATGGAGCTGCAGACAATCAATCAGCTGTATTAATTTTATTTAATTGTATTTAATTATTTTTCTAAATATTTAGTTCATTTGAAAAAGTATTTGTTGAAAACTGAAACAAAAACCATCTACATGTACACATGTGCACACTTCCCTGACTTCTTAAAAGACCATCACTCCTACCGCCTCTTTAGAGTACATGAGCATCCTTTCTCCCTGGAAAGTATTTCTTGGAAAGCACAACACAATTCATCTGCATTTGTCAAATTTGTCGATTTGTTTCTCTTTTTCATTTATACTTATGTAAAAACATTTGCATTCAACATAGGGAAACAAAAGATCATCTTCCCTCACACATCTCATCTCTGCAATATCACACTTCCCTGACATATGGGACATAAATACAACATATGTGTGTGTGTGTGTGTTTGCCCATCTATGTAAAAAGAAATTTATGTAAAAATAAACCATAAATAACATTACATAATTTCAATACATATTCTATGTTAAAGACAAAGTGAATTGCAAATCTGCAGAAAGATAATTTCCTCTTGAGAGGATCACAACAATTTAGTTCCTTTATCCGTATCATGTAATACTTAGGGAGACTGTAAAAAAAGAATAAAGGATTGAACTGAAACTTTGAGAGGGCATTAGGAGGAGAGACTAGAATTGCCATAATCAAAGTGTGGTCCTCATACTCTGAAAATGTTTTACTACAGAGAGTTAAGGACAGAACCCTGCAGAGAACTAGGTTACCGCCACAGAGACTTCTATTAACATTTCTGAATAGGCCTAGAAATCTTTTAGCTTTAAACCCCGCTCACCCTTAAAATGAAATATTCTCATCAACACTCAACAAACTTATAAAATAGAGGAAGCCCAAAGAATTTTGGAAAGGATTAAAGTCATGATTTGGGAGATATTACCCCATCTCATCTTCCATAAAAGCACACATACGACAGCAATAGAAGGAAGCTGAACTCGAGGCCTACTTCATTTGAACTTTTATGATCTTGCTGCATTGTTTTTGCATGCATTTTCTGTCAGCTGGAATGTGTCACCTCCCCACAAAGACTGTGACGTTTGTGGAAGCACTGAACTCTTCTCATAGTGAATCCAAACACCAGTTCCTTTCTTTTTCTATGCAAAGATTAAGTTAGGTAAGGTCCAGAAAGGCATCATAACCTTCCTAAGTGTTTAATCTCGCAGAAAATCAACGTATAATCTTGTAAATAAATCATGCTTCTCTCAGGAGAACGTCAGCAAAATCTCCTCAAAGTTTTTTGTATGGTTATTAACTTCTGCTGACTCCGCCTGGCTCATAAGAGCCTAAAGGAGTGTCCATAGTGGGAGACAGGCCATATAAGAAGGTTAAAAGGAAGAGTATCTTGAGGCAAAATATACTCTTGAATGTATGGGAAGCAACTTGAGCACTGAAGTACGGTGCAAATTATGAATCACCTGAACACCTTTTTTAATGTTTGCATTGGAAATATTTTAGATAGAAAAGCTTTAGAGGAGATTAAGGATGGAAGTTATATGGAAAGCTAAGGGAAGTCAGGGCCTAAATCCTTTGAACTTTAATGGAGGAGTCATGCCTCTCCATTCCTGAGACATCTAAAAAAATCCTAAGCCGTAAGGCAAAACATCGACAGAAGACTCACATAGCTATCTAATCTCAATAAACCACAATTTAAAAGGGACAGTTTTCTGAACATTAGCTATAAACTGACTTCAGGCATAATCTTATTATTTTTTTATTTAAAAAATTCAGAAGGTATTTACATTCCAGAGGTCCTGCCAGATACAAGTGGGTTACATCCTGTTGCACATGGTTCCTATCAATGGAGCAAAAGATCAAGGCAATCACTTGAAATTCTTTGATTTCACTGCCAAATGAAATATCAAGAAGATTAAGCATTGCTACAAGCAGAGGATGTCAACAGTGAATAAAAAAAAAGATTTGATATCCAATTTTAAGATATGTATAATAAAAATCAATACAAGTCACTTAACTATTCTCCTACTTTGTCATGCTGCTGCTTCTTTCAAAATCACCAGGTCGCTTTGAAAAAGCAGACTTTCACAATTAAAATGTGATTCTTGCTAGCTAAAAAGTTGAATTTTTAAAATAATTTTATGGAGTTTCTCTTTCTCATGTTTATATATATTCTTAGAAATATATAGTACCTAAACCCAGAGGCCAATTGTCTTAGATTATATTGTTGATACAACAAAGCAAGAGCAAATATAAATGTATGTTTTATTCTATTGCTATGCATATCCTCTATACCAAATGTTGCTGTTGAAAAGTAAAATCAAGTTAATCTTAGCTCCCTATATTCCCTTTTCCTAGAAGTACAACCTATACAGCACAAAATTCATAGCTTCTTATCTGTAAAAGTGAAAAATCCAAATCTTAGATTTAAAATTCTATTCAACTATGTAAGAAAGTTCACATTTTAAGGCTTATCACAACGTTTTTTGTATTGTTAGGAGTAAGAATCTGATATTTTTGTCAGATAAATGCAGTGGAAATGTGGCAAGAAAACTAGAATAATACTTTGCCGACGGAAACTTTTACAGTTAGCAAGGCAACTTCACCACACAGCTACTTTCAAAATTTATAGGAAAAACTAGCTAGCATAAAGACTGGAAGCTTACTGAGGTGCTTCTTCAGATTTGCACACATTTTGATACTCAAAATAGTAGTATTTTTAAAACTTTCCTTATTGCATTGATGTCATAAGCACTCATCTTGGGAAAGAATATAGAAATGAGTCATCAACTGTATACGTAAGTAATCATGTGATACAATAATATTTATCAAGAATCATACAGGGAAAAAAGGCTTAGAATTCACCCTGTTCTGGTTAGATTTATCAATTTGAGTTTCCTAGCTAAAAAAATAGCTTCTCATCTGTTCAGTTCCATACTTGTACAGTATATTTGATATCAAACTTAGCTGGAGGGTGCAATGAAATATCATACTAATTTGTGCAGAGGAGATGACATGATGTACAGTGGCCTAAAGCTGCAAGTGGAACCCTATGGGGAATGAAGAAACACACTTTTAAGAAATGATTGCTGTATTAATAATGGAAATCTAGGATCATTTTCTGTCAGCTAAATTGCTTGCAAGGATACATGTAATTAATTCCATATATTGACTTTCACTACTCTTAAGAAAGCTTATACTTTAGAAAAAGATTAGTTGCTTTTTATATTGAAAGTCTGCTCCTTTCAATTACTAAGCCCTCTTAGAAAGAAAGGTTTATTTTGATTTTTACAGTTCATCAGCCCTAAATATAATCACCAGGAACTAACATGGAACTCTCGACACTGAGAGCAATTTGCATGGTTTTATTTGCCTATCATACACAGAAGATTTGTTCCATCTTCACCTTTCAAGTTTAAAAATGTGTATTTAAGTTAAGCTAGATACCCAGGGTATATATGTAGGAACTGTAAGTGCTTTTGTTTTCGAAAAACGTGCTCTACCTATTCCAGTAGGTTTAGAAAGTGGTAAGTTTTCTAGCTTCCAGCAAGTAATGTTGATCTTAAGCCTACAAGGACACAATAGTTCCACCTCCCTGAATCCTGTCTACCTAAACCCCCTATTACACAAAAACAAATCTTTATTAATAGAGCATAGGTAAGCAGAAAACACCCTAACATAACTCAAGCCTCAGTTATTTAGCCTAACTTGATAATACCTCCAGTGATACTCAGACGATCAGAGTTAAGCCTGCATATTTTAAGAATTAAGAATTTAAGAACAAAGTGCTTTTAGAAAAGAAAAAGGAACATTTAGCTGTTAGAATAAATAATGATTTATAAAAACACAGTTTTCTATACATTTCTTTTCTACACATGCTGGTGTGCCATGACACCTCTATCTCCAATTGACACAGAACATAGTTATACATACCACAGTTTGGTGGTTAACTTGAATCACTTCATCTCCAGCATGGATTTTCTTGCACCGATCTGCAGGTGACTGAATTTAAAATAAAAGAGATGATAAAGAATACAGTTCTTACTGGTCATCATCTCTCTTCAGCAGTATGATTGCTAAGATATGTCAGCTTAGATTGATAATTACATTCTATTGTGAAATAAAGAAAAAAAGAAATATTTAATAAATTAATTCATTGTTGTTGCAGAAAATCTGCACTACTGTGCATAGACAATCAAGTGTTAAGAAAGGTATGAATATTTATTTTATTGAAGAGTAAATCAGTCTTAAAGACTTCCTTTAATTTAATTCTGCAAAAAGTCTGCTTTAGCCTGACTGACATGTCTTAAGCCTTGGAAGTCAACCTTTGGCTGCATGTTGATTCCATGAGGACTAATTGGCAACTGCTTCAAAAATAAATTTCACAACATTTTCTTTTTAGTCTAAATGCTTCGGTATGTTCCAGAGAACGTCAGCAAATCATTGTTCTTCACCATCTATACAAGGAGAGAGGAGTACGTACCAGTGAGGAAGGTCATAAAGTCATATTATAACTTCATGTCTGGATTATTATTAGGATGAAATAAATCCAGCCACGACCAAAATCCTACAAAGAGCATACTTTCAAAATGCAAAGGAGTTTTGTTCTTTGGTTTTGCCTCAGAAAAATAGAAAAACACCCCACAACAAAACTGCAAAACCAGTTTCTCCTCTTCTGCTATTTATACTTACAGTAGGTCAACTATTTTCTGAGAGACCCTCCCCCGTACATTTTTAGAGGAAAGTAACTTCACTAAGCTTTTCACAGAGCGACAATTCTTTGACTTTTCTCACTCAGTACTGTGATTGCCAGCCTAAGAAGTTGTTTAATCACCTTAAAGGTAAAAGATGAGAGTGACAGTTCAAAAAAACCAAGGTACTCAGGAACAGGTTTCCAAAAAGCTACTATGAATTTTGCAGAAAGGAACTGAAATTCAGTTCACTTTCAGCATTTTCTAGCTCTGGTGAGACAACGTGACATCTAGGGCATGTGCCTGGAACGGGGATTGTCTGCGATAACCTACCTACCACATCCCCATTCAAAATGTCTGTGTCCTGCAGCCATGTCATGACTTTCTAGAGCAATTCCACATTATTCATGGCTTAACTTAAGAACAGTGTTTAAACAGAAGATGTCCAAGGAAGACACGAGGCTGAAAGAAGGGTCACTCACAACTCAGTTCTTGGAGGCATTACTCAGAAATCATGATTTTCTAAATCATCCTGGGCTGGTAAAGATGTAATTTGACTTACATAAAGAACAGCAGCCTTGACTATTTGGCACTCTTCCAGCATTAAAGGAGTTGGCTGAATGACGCAAGGAAAAATTTTAACACTAGTAAATACATTCCACTGATCACTACGTTCTGCCTATCACTGCTCAAATTTTTTCATTCATACTTCTAAAAGATCTTTATAACCTTGCTGTGCTTTAGCTCAGATGTGGTTATACCTAAGACCTTCAAAATGTCTAGGAGAGTGTATCCTGTGTCATTATGCTTGCACGCAATGGGATTTTGTTACAATGCAAACTTTTCCTGGTACTAACTTCAGCACCTGCCGCTTAAACCTTGACAAACAGGTTATTTTTGTGTAGCCGTTTGCCAAGTCTGTAAAACACAGTCTGGGAATCTTCACACTGTAAAAAATCATTGCAATTATGTCTAGGAATGAATAGCACTGCAAGGCTAGACACAAATCATTTCTACAGGAGTCCAAGGCTGTGGTCTTATTAGGAGGTTATGGCTCTTGTGCCTTACTGTTTTCCCTCCCAAGTAAGGAAAACAGACCTTACTATAGAGAAATAGTTATCTTTTATCATCACTGTTTAAGGAAAACGGGAGACTTGATAAGCTATTTCTTTTTATAGATGTATTTGCTGATCATTAAGCAAACACCTATTCGTGAAGCCCTGCTAGGAGGAACAAAGTGTGTCACATCACAGATACATCTACGTTAGCAGGCAATTCAGTTCAAGAAGAAGCTGAAAAACAGATGGAAGTGCCTGTTGCTGAGGCACACACAGTTTTCCCATATGAGGGTAAGGAATTTTACTTCAGATGAGACTGAGTGTTGTCCTCTAGGCTAAACGTTGTCTTTGTCCCATTCCCCTCCAACACACCTACGCTGTCCAAAAGACCTGTTTAGACCTTCCTGTCCCCATTAGGGCTGGAGCATATTTGGTGCGTGCCCAGAGTGGAAACTCAGGTATCATTTATTCTGAAAAGTGTCTCTTTTCTGAGCTCTGTAAGTACCCTACAAACTCAACCATTACACAGTAAGTGGAGACACTTGGAGGACTTCACTGAAAAATTGCACTCTCGCTGTAAAAAAAAGTTGATATAGATGCAGCCCATGATATGACTTAGAAAATACTCTTCTCAGCTAGAAAACTAAACTACAAAATTACTTAATTTGATGAAAACATTTGTTTTATGAATTGAAAGACTCTCTCCGTCACTCACCAAGAAGGCTATACTCTCTTGCAGCATAAATCCAGCCTTTGTAATTGTTACTTTCAAACACAAAAGAGAAAACTTGAACCAGAAAGCTCAGCTTGCTCTCATGCTACAGGACCACCAGGGAGAACCTCAGAGCGGGCAGTGACCTCTAAGGAGCCCTGCTCCCTCTCAATTCAAGTTGCAGAGCTTGGCTACTCCAACCCGTAGGGCCAATGAGTTGGGAGAGAAGACTCCTAGTACCGAGCAGCAAGATCCAAACGTCTACGGGGTTTGTGGTTGGACACCAAACACCCTGAATTGCAAACAGATAATATAGAACTGTGGGAAAAAAACCCACAATGTTATATGATGTGGTTAGCACCGTTAAGTTACTGCATTTATTAAAAAGATAAGTGCTTCTCTGTGATCTTTCAGGGAAGATAAAGATAAAAAGTTGTGCCAATATCTCATTTTCAATAGCAGAATCAGAAAGAAAAAGGCACAAGCTTTTGTTCAAAGGCAAGAGAATTTGGATTCTTACTGTTTCCTAGAAGTCCAGTAGGACCACAAATGGCAAAAATGTCAATATGAAGAGATCAGATCACATCTGCCCCATCATGACCTCATTCTCGCCATGCTCCTTCAATGTTTCTCCTCCTATTTATCAGAATCATATTTGGGTGTTTTTTGAGGTTTTTTTGTGATTTTTTTAAGTAAAAGGCTAGCAACTTTGTCTTTGAAAACAGCAGATACCTCACTTTCCCTAAGGCATTGCTTATTTTCACAAACATTTTAACACACAATAGGTCTTTCCTCAGATAGCAGACTGCAGACTCTCAGTTTGCTTTGAGCACCTCCGGGGTCTTATAGCAAGTGAAAGTGTCAATAACCAAGCAGAAAAGTCATCATGACTGAAGCTTCCTGATGTGGCTTTAAATTATATTCATGAATCACGAAAGATAAGATTTTTGAGGGAAGGCATTAAGATTTTATTCTTATCTTTGCCCATGGGAAATTAAATCTGATAACAGGAACTCATGGAGAGAGAAACAGTTCCTTTTTTAATCTGAGGGAAATTCAAGTTTAAAAACCATCCTCTCTCTTTCAAATGTTTTCCAGATTTGGCACAACTATGGTTCTGTTGTCTCCTTAGTTTTACTAATTCCACTGATGATATTGAAGCTGTGGGTCTGGCTCCCTAGCATTTTGATTGCAAGGCTGAAATTCCTCTTGTGTTTTCCTTATCCTAGGGCAGGTGGCCCATGGACATCCTGTCCACAGCAAAAGAAAGAATAAAGGTTTCCAGATTGCAATTCCTAAG